TGTCTACAGCGCCTCTGATTGAAGCCATCAAACCCCCCTTTCCGTCGCGAACAGCTGTGATAATGACAGCGACATCCACAATGCCGCGGCAAAGTTGACGCTACTCGAGCTTGTTACTAATGCCAGCCCATGAACGCATCCTGCCCGCGCGAAGGCAAGGATACCAGTACTCTTCGGAGTACTAGAATACATCCGAGACCGCCGAGCGACTAGATCCGAGTACCATAACACATGGAAGCGTGGGACATTTCTCCTACGAGCCCTCCATTCGGGCTCCCGCGCATGCCACATGTTACAGTTGACCGAGCTTTGTCTTCTTCGATAGGATGCTGGCATTTTCTCCACACATCAGGACACTGGAAGCCTTGTGATCTCACCTGGGCGCCTTCTGGACGTGAACAAGACATTACACTTCGTCTTTCCATTACGAGCTACCCTTCAGTACTCGAGCCATCACGATGCCCCTCCAAATCACCATCATCGGCGCCGGCCTAGGAGGACTATGCGCGGCATTCCGTCTCGCCCGAGACGGTCACAACGTCACCCTCTACGAGCGACGCCCCCAATTCGAGCCCCGTGGAGGCGGCATCATGATCCGGCCCAACGCAACGAGATTCCTCCTGCAATGGGGTCTCGAGAAAGACTTCGAAGCCATCTCCGACAACGCGGGAGCGACGAATTTCCGCAATGGAAGTGACGGCGAATTACTGATGAAGCGACAAGTCATGACCTCTTCGGCCGGTGGGTATCCCGATTGGGGAACGAACCGGGTGGAGACGCAGAAAGCGCTCTGTAGGAGGGCATTGGAAGCGGGAGCCAGGTTTGAGTTTGGAATCGGTGTGGAGGATGTGTATGATTCACATGAGAAGGCTTCGGTGGTGCTTTCTACCGGCAAGACCGTTCAGGCGGATCTGGTACTGGTGGCTGATGGTGTGCTTTCGAGATTGCGACCCAGAGTCATAGGTTCTTCTCCGGAGCCGATCTTGGGCCGGTCGACTTTACATCAGACTGTTGTTGATGGAGAGGACATGCGAGCGGATCCGGACGCCAGGGGGCTGGTTCAGAGCACGGATCTTGAGGTTTCGATGATGCGACAAGGCGGACCCTATGTCGTGAGTCGGTACAAGCAGGCTCTGGATGTCTATGGTGGAGTCTATGGACTTCCGGAGGCCGACGAGAATCCTAGGCTATACGACGAGGTACGGAGACTCTTCACTTCAAAGCTGATGGGATTTACAGTGAGACTGACAAAGCATTAGCATGGCGATCTCGAAATGGTCCGCAGACACTACGTCAACTACGACGCGGCCACCCGAGCCGCGCTGAAACTGGCAAAGTCCTGTGATCGATGGCGCCTGACAGAAATGCCAGACCTCCCGTCATGGACCAGCAAACACGGCCGTCTCATCCTCCTCGGCGACTCCGCACACGCCATGTTCCCCTCGGCAGCTCAAGGCTTCTCCCAGATCGTCGAAGACGTAGCCGCGCTCTCCCATCTTCTCTCCCACCACTTCGGATCTCTCGGTTTCCCGCGCCTGACGCAGGTCTGGCAGGAAGTCCGGATCCCGCGAGTCAACCGCATCAAAGCCTGGGCGCACGCGAATGATCGCATCTATAGCCAGGGAGACCAATCTTCACCAGAGGGAGGGAATCCGATGGCCGCGGAGAAGATGTCGTCGTCGTCGTCGCAAGGCGTGAGCAGGGATCGGGATGCGCCGTTTCGCACCTCGCGGTTTATGAGGTGGGCTTTTGGTTACGATGCTGTTGACGAGGTGGATCAGTATCTCTTGGAGAAGCCGAAGGTAGCAGTAAATGCGAAATTGTGAGATAGTGGAGGGTATGTGTCGTCGAGATCTACATATTAGCAGATGTCGTGCTGTGAGTTTTCATTCCTTCTGCGGCAGCAGCTTTTCGACCCAGCCAGCGACTTGCGTGGCAACCAGCTCCGAGTGCTCTCGGTTTAGAGAGAAGCAGTGGTCCATCTTATGCTTGTCAATGAGCATTTCAGGCCAGTCGGCGGTCATCTCGTCACCCTGCCGTGTGGCACGTTTCGCAATGAGCCGATCTCTCACATCGTTATCCACCCAATAATCATCCTCGCCCCAGTAGAAGAACAGTTTCGTCCTCGGTGCTGAGGCCACCGCGTGAATTTCAGTTTCCATTTTGCTCGGAGGAGGCTGTACTCCCCATAAGTTTGCCGGATGCCATCTGTCTTCTCTGATTTCGAGCATCTCGTCTGCGGCCATGAAGACTGTTTGTCTAGCTCCGGTGGGACTGCGGAGCACCGCTTCTGTCACGGCGGTATGTTCGGGAAGCTTTTCGCCGGGGGTTAGTGATTTAGGCCAATTCCATAGCCAGAGCGGGATCCAAGATAGAAGGCGAGCGGCGAAGTGGGCGATGAGTGAGAGGTAGGGTATCATCAGGAGCCACTCCTTCGAAATCAGCAGACAAACACATTACATGCCAAGCAGCGGACGTACGCTGAACACTTTTCCCTTTGAGCTCTTGGCAATGTCCACCACGGTCGGGAACAGACACACTCCGCCAACGATTTCCAGAGATTTTCGCTCTGCCGCCTGCTTCTGCCACCAGGCCACAGTCTCCAGCAGGATATAGGCGCCCACGGAGTGTCCAACGAGCACAACTCTGACGGGTGTGGGCGGTGTATCTGAACCCGCGAGCTCCCGTGCTTTCGAGGCAACTTTCCGCTGCGTGCTCTCTATCACTTCTTGGAGAGAATAAGGTGCGGTTGGGGTAGGCGAGCCGTGCGTCTCGAATCCATCGTGAGAAGCACCGTGGACGACGACATCTTCCCGTCCAGAGGCTTTCAGCGCGTCGCGAACCTCGACGAGGAATTGGCGATAGTACTCCACGTGTCCTGGATTGCCCGGGATGAAGTAGACGAGGAGATGGTCGTGTGAGGGCTGAGGCCCGTCTGCTCCACTGAGGAGTGTCACCTCGTCTCGAAGGCGAGATAGTTGGCTCATCGTGGATTTTTCAGCGGAGATTCTTGATTACTGAGATCAAGGATGGGATAAGAGGAATTGGGAGCTGACTATGAAATTCATTATGATGGTGCAAAGTAGCATGAGAAGTCTCTACTTACCTTTCAATGAAACTGTACAATTCCATCACTCGAGGAAGCATCGATGCATGTGAAGTGCAAGCCGCGGCTGATTAGCCATCAATCAATATTTGATTGATCGATCAGTGCACGTCATTCCTGCCTCAGGCTATCGCTTCTGCATCACCACCTGCAGGCATCGACATAACATCAACACGTCTTTAGTTCCTTGGACAGCTGTTCATTCTTCTTCACAAAGCATTCTTGCCACCTGTTCAGTCTCTCAGTCGCCCGCATATGTAGCTATACCACTCCAACATCGTCCCTGCGACGACACGACTTTCCGCCACACCCTCCAACATGAAGTGTCTCACCAGCCTCATCCCGCCACTTCTCCTGGCATCCGCTCCCTCATCCGTCCTGGCCAGGAAGAAAGACGAGGCAGTCCTCCTCTCCAACGTCAAATCACTGACTCTCCGCGATGGCCACCAGACCTCTTCCCGGCGCGTCGACCCTCTGCCACAGCTCAACTGCGTCGGCGGCGACGGATGCCAATTCTACAAGGTTGATGTTATGAGGTGCACGAATTCTGGATCGCAATACGATTCGGAAGATATCGCCTGGACTTGCAAGGCCAACTTGCCGCCGGAATTCAAATTGGGAAGCACCGATGTCATCTGTGAAGGATACGACAATGCCAACGATCCGTACATTTTGAAGGGCAGCTGCGGCGTGGAGTACCGCTTGATGCTCACGGAGTTGGGAGAGCAGACCTATCGGGATCATGTCGATCACAAGGCCTGGAGAAGACCTTCAAGTAGTGATTCGAAAGAGACGGAGGGCAGTGACAAGCTGGCCTCCGCGCTGTTCTGGCTCGTCTTCGTGGGTGAGCACTCCGATTCTCGAGATAGCCTGACGCTCGTGCTGACTTTAATTACAGTCATCGTGCTCGTGATACTCTACAGTATCTTCAATCCCGATCGCAATCATGCCAGAGACTCTGGTGATGGCCTTCGGCGTGGGTACAGGCCGGGAGGCGGCGGCGGCGGCGGCAACGACGATGATAATGACGACCCGCCTCCACCCTACACCCCACGAGCAGATCCACGACCTAAGAAGTCGAGCAACTCCTGGTATAGCTCTCGCTCGTCCAACACTCGGAGCTCTTCAAGTCGGCAACAGAGTCAAGGATGGCGGCCTGGCTTCTGGACTGGCACGGCAACCGGAGCTGCTGCTGGGTATGCTGCTGGAGCGTACGCTAATCGAGACCACCAGCGCAATGCTGATGCACAGCCTGGACGATCGAGCTGGTTCGGGACGACGAACACATCTCCGCCAGGAGGAAGGACTGCAGGACTAAATCATGGAGGCTCCTCGTACTATGGAGGAGGATCTTCGGGTGGCGGGAGTCGCTGGGGAGGTGGTGGAGGTGCTTCTTCGTCGAATAGCCCTCCCGAACCAAGCAACAGTAGATCAGAGTCCACTGGCTTTGGTGGCACAAGAAGACGATGAAGGCGACATGCGCGCGACACCCAGAGGCTTACTTTGGTAGATTATGAAATCTAGGCCAATGCAAGAAATACGATTCTATTAGAGATTTTTTTCTCACATCCCCAACAAGCACATCTGCTTCTGTTATAATAGAAGACCTCCATTCACATTCATGTGAGATAGAGCAAATAGAGTGAACGACCTTAGTGATACGGGCGAAGTAAAGTGTGGATAGCCTGAGGCACCAACTTGCAAGTCTGACGACACATCTTGTGCCAGCTTCCGAAGCTCTAAACCTACCAACTTCTATACCACCGCTACGATATCCACATAGCTAGCAGTCCTCTCAAAATGTCGGCAAAGATTCAGAAAGTCCTTGCCCGCCAGAAATCAAAGTGAGCAGCCACGCAGCTCGTCACAAGCTCTAGCTGACCTCATTGCAGGATCGAAGAAGGCGACTTCTACGAGGCTCACCAACAACTCCGAACGATTGCGAACCGATATGTCAAATCCAGCGACTGGGATGCGACCATTGAGCTCCTCTCATCCGGCGCGCTGATGCTGCTGAAGGCAGGCCAGGGTGGCTCCGGCGCAGACTTATGCCAGTACCTGATGGAAGTCTATCAAAAGGCGGAACTGAAACCAGATGTCGCGAACAAGGCGCGCATATTGGGGCTGCTGAGAGCTTTCCCGCCGAATGAGCCGGGCAAGAAGAAGTTTGTGGGAGGGATTGTTGAGTACGTCGAGGAATGATGCGGGATATGGACACTTGACTGACTGGACACCAGGTGGTCTAGCAAACACGGCGAATTCCCCGCTGGAGACCCGGAATTACACCATGTGATAGGCAGCTCATACGCGGAGGAAGGGGATGTCTACGACGCGGAACGCCATCTCACACTCGGAACGAGCGACTCGGCGGCTGTCTTCAGCGACATGGAATACGAATGGTATGCCTCGGACGAGCCTTCAACAGCCTCGCACTACGCCGCCCGCGCCGTCCTTCCGTATCTCCTCATCGGCAATACTCGAGCAGCTAACAAGGCTCTCCTCCTCTTCACCAGCAAACTCTCCACCTCACATCCCGGACTCGGCGTGCAGAGCATTTCTTCGCCCAGCAGCGACATCCGGATCTACCCTTCCCTCCCACTCCTAAACTTCCTCGGCCTCCTCCTCTTGGCGATCCAAAGGGGCAGCTCAGACCTTTTCAAACAACTGAAAGCACATTATGCAGCTCATCTCAAGGAAGTAGAGCAATGGGACGAGCCTCTCTTGCAGATTGGAGAGATGTATTTCGGGATCAAGATTCCGTCGCAGAGCAATCCGATGTTTGATATGATGAGTAGCATGCTGATGGGGGGGAACAATCCTTTTGCGCAGAAGAAGAGAGAGCCGCAGAAGGTGCAGGCTGCGAACAGTGGGCCTTCTGCGCCGTCGACACCTGCACCTGCGCCGGCTGTGGATTGATACTTGAGCATACCGAGATGTAGAAACTTGCATACGGCTGAAGAGGGAATATAATGCCAACTAAAGTTTGAATCCAACCCCAATGGAAGCGTTACTTGATCTATCGAGGCACTCGTATCCAGCGCTGAAACCGATCCCACACGTCTCCATCCTCTCGCATCCAACACGCAACTCGGGTGTGCATCCATCCATTCCCCATGTCCACGCGTCTTGACTTAACCGAGCAGCCGGCCGAGGGTGCACGAGTGATCGTGCTCTGGCCATGCACTACGCCACAGATTCATGCCCACAAGAAAAAGATGACCAAACCCCTTGAGATGATGCTGCTTGGCTCCCTTACAAGTCTACGATCAAAGGCAGTTTGCGCAAGCAAGCACGCATGGTATATGAAAGAGGCCATGAATCTCGATTCTCGTTGGAAGGAATGTACAGACGGATAGGTCTCACAAGGCTCGCTCTGTCTTGTGTGCCGCGCTATCGAATGGAATGACAAGTGGGTGGATCAGTGGAAGGATTGAAGCTCGGCGGGTCTTGCTTGGATGGAAGCTGCCAGAAGGGGGCGGCGCAAAGGGATTTCAATTGGTGGAGCTTCGTGGATGTTGTCCGGAGAGATCATTTGGGCTATAGTCTGCAGTGAGTGCGATAGAGGCACGGACAACGCACGGACCGCTTCACATGCTAGCCTCAGGCACATGGGTACATATTGTATTGCCCGATTCCTCCTCCTAGCAGTGGTTGTATATCTCTTCACGCTGCAATATGGATTTCAGCGCCGTTGCACAGTGCCGTCGGAAGCCTCTTGTGGACGCGCGTCATGTTTGTTGTTGTTTACTCGCCGTGCCTTCCTCAATGGTGAATGCCCTGGCATTGTTGTTGGCGGCCGGCTAAATCGTGGATCAACAAATCATGATTGATTGATTAGAAGTCGGCTCGCACACAACGGAGGAAGCTTCCAAAAAGGGGGCTCGCCCACCCACGACTTGCAAATTTTTTTCCTTTCTTCTCTTCTCACCAGCTGCAAACCCCCTCGGGGGCCCTTCCCACACACGCCCGCAGCAAGGCCGCCGGTCTTCTTCTTCCTCTTCTTACCTCTTGTTCTTCCCCCCACCTGCACTGCACCCCTTTTTTTCCTTCGTTTCTCCCCGGAGTCCCGTCTCAACACGGTTACGATGTGGTCGTCAGATTGGCAGCAGGAGGCCTCTTGGTCTAAAGTGATCTCGGCAGGCGCTTGCGTCTCCCGGGTGAAACTGCGCACTTCAGTGCTTATGCCCGAATCCCCTTGAGCGGCACCACCCACCGGGTTCTGCGTGTCCCCCATCCATGATGGGCTAAAAGCTCCACATCTCCCCCGCCCCCCTCATCAACAGGAAGCCCAAGAACCCACCCGGGGCTACGATCGACAAGCGACGACAAACGCAACCAGAAGCCGGCGGTCACCATCCAACATGGCTTTGACGGCGTGCCGGTCAAGAAGCCACAGAAACGCAGAGGGAGGATGAGCAAGAAGCCCCAAGAGATGAAAAGAAGAAGACATTTTGTCGGCCCTCGGAAGATGCCTGCAATAAAGGAGTCATGAGGCCAGCGCCAATCCGGTGTGTTCACGAGTGGGAGAGGGCGCCGAGCACCTTTCGAAGCGTCTGGTGCTGGGGTGGCAGGTCGGCGGGTACAACAGTGACCACAAGGTGGGCTGATTGTAGCAAGAGGAGGGCATCAGTCTCAGTGGTCTTTCATGGCCGCTGCCCTGAAGCCTTCGTATGTTCTGGTCTCTGGTGGATCTTTTTGTGTAGCACTTGTATCATGATATTATCTTCATCATCCTTCCACGCTGCTGTTCACTGTATCCTTGGTTTCTTCAATTTGTTTTGCCGGTCGCGTCGGCACCGCACCGCTGCTCTCGTCACCGTGTATCTCCAATGCCTCACGCCCTTGACTGCGCCTGTCGTGTAAGCGCTTCCGCCATCTCGGTTCTTGGCTTGAACCGGTTTCAAGCTCCGCACCACGGCTTACCGCATTGCACATATGCGGTGCGCGGCCAGTGTGCATGATGAGACACTGCGCCGACCGTCTCATTCTCTCCCTGGCCTTTCTCCCTTCTCCCACATTATCTGCCGCCGGTATGGCTGTCCTCGTCTCGCACGCGCGGGCAGTGTGGACTCGCCATCTGTAAAAGAGTGCATGCTTGCGAGGCTTCCCCAAGCGTACATGCGACTCGGGCTCACGCGCTTATGGGGTTACAGGTCACACACAATATCCGTCCTACGAATTGAAGATGCGTGAGTACAGCAGCTCATGCCGTCCCATCCAAAGGTCGTGAAGAGGCACAACCACCGCCGCATCTTCAACACCTCGCACATTTCGCCGGGACTGCATCTCGAGGCATGTACCGAGACACGCCCGCAGCTTCGCGCCCGCAAGAACAGCCTGGCTCTGATACGGGCCCATCACACTGGCCCTGACCGCGGCGGAGAGCACGGCTTTCGCATGGTTGAGCAGGAACAGGTAACTCGTGTCATACTCGGATACATCGAGAGCGGCGCAGACAGCCCCGAAAAGCGGCGCGAAGTGCCCGTTAGGTTGCAGGCCAAACTCATCTGGTACATTCGCCTTCAAAGTCACCGCAAATCGAGCAACCTCTCCTGCAGCAGGTGTCCCGGCAAGGGCCGAGTCGGACAACGCTCTCTCCCATATCTGCACCATTGCGCGGCCCTGTGCAATGCTTGCCCGCCGTGCCACAGTACACGGAGTCGAGGCGTCGAAATCGTTGTCGAGATCGTGCAGTCGATCCGGATGCCGGAGGGCGGTTAGGACATAAGGCAAGGCCGTGGAGGAGACATTGTGGAGAGCCTCCTCTAGGAATTTTTCGCAGGCCTGGAGCTTGGCGGAGGCCGAGGAAGAGAGATGGGTTGTCGAGAGCTTCTTATGGGCGAGGAAGGATTCCAAGCCGGAGGAGAAGGCGAAGGAGCCAAGCGGCAGGGCGGAGTCGGAGAGGAGGAGGAGAGTGTGGAGGGATGAGCTGGCCATCCTGTGCACGTGCTCTAGACTACATGCGGTCCTGTGGTGCCGATATACCGTGATATTAGGGTATAGACATACGGCATGGATAGAAGGCGTTTGCGATGTCCATAGACATAGGGCATTGGCGACGTCTACGGTGAAAGTTGAGGTGAGGTTGCTGCTTCGGACATGAATATTCCGTTGGAAACCGATTCTAGCCGCTTCGGGTAAGGTACTGATCTAGTGGGGCTGTGGGGATCCGGGGATCTCCGACTCACTGTCACGTGCCTGTCTCCTCCCTACAGCCATCATCCCTCAGCATCCTCGCCGACACACACTTCATGATCAAAGGGACAATCGCTCCGTGTACAAATGAAGGGTGAAATGTCTGGATGACAGCCGGACGAAAGCAACGCGGTGTCTGCAGATGCATGCTCGTCTGCAGATGCTGAGACTTGATTTCGAATCAAGCACGCAACGTTCAGCCGACCCCTGGGGATAATGTGTACTTCCTCCGGCCACGACGCCGGCGGTACCTTTCGACAACGAACAATAGACGGACGACCAACGGACAATACCTTGGGACACGCGGGCTTCAGCCTTACCAATCCGTGATCCTCCGCCACCGAATGGCCAACCAGGCACCTCGCTGGCTCTTGGCTACGCAGTCACATCCCGTGGCTTTGTCAGACTCGCAGGCTGGAGCATTCCAACCCTCTCACATAGCATATCGCGTCTCTCTCTCTTCTCTATACTCGTTCCACGGCATCCCGGAGTGACCGAGTAATCCAGGCCGCTGCATGGTATGCTGGCTCGTTTGCGTCGTGGAACGATTGGTAAGTATGACACAGGCAATGTGCTGCTATATATGCGCGAGCAGTCGGTGGACGGGTCCCGACTTTTCTTCTGCCGTAGCACTACAAGAGTCCGCACGAGGTAGTGAGACATCATCTATTCTCTGTTCTCCGTCACGGACAGCACCCTCCTCCCCCTGACCACAGAGCATTGAGGATCGCAAAGATCGAAGACCAGCAGCATACATGGCGGACCTGATTCGAGACGCGCCAATTGGGCAGCTGATCCGCCATCTCACAAACAACAAGTTCTTACTGTATCCAGAAGAGAAACCCGACTTCCTCTATCCAACCGGCTATCCAAAATCAGGCCCAAAGGAAGATGTGCATCGAGTAGTGTCGTCCTCGCACGAGCCAGCAGTGTCGCCGGTCACCGAAGATAGCGAGAAAGAGGACCCGCTTGATGTCGAAAAAGAAGAAGCGGCAGAAGAAAACGCAACACCAGAGACACCTCACATTCTCGGAACCAATGATACAGATCACCACGCTTATCATGCTTTGTACACAATACCGACCGCGCGCTCTGACGTCGAACGACCGTTCTCGAAAGAGGATCTCGAGAAGCTGTCGTCGACGAGGAGTCAGATGGAACGAATCGGCACGAGAGCTACTCTTCAACAAGCTCATACCATTGCGGACCTTACGGCAGCATTCACCGCATCAACTATGACTAAAGAGCCTTCGAGAACAATACTACCACAGCGCACAAGCGAAGGCGACGTCTTGGTCGACTGGTACACCGAAGACGACCCGGACAATCCGCAGAACTGGAGCTCCGGTAAGAAGTTCCTTGCCAGCCTCATGATTTACGTCTACACAACGGCTGTCTACATGGGGTCCTCCATCGTCACTTCGTCCACAGAAGGCATCATGCACGAATTCCAGGTTGGACCGACTGCCACGAGCCTGGACCTTGCTCTCTACACCCTAGCATACGGTATGGGACCTTTGATCTTCAGCCCCTTATCGGAGATCCCCTCGATCGGCCGCAATCCACCATATATGATCACCATGGCCATCTTCGTCATTCTGTGCGTCCCGACCGCTCTGACCCCTACCTTTGCGGGTCTACTGGTGTGTCGTTTCCTGCAGGGATTCTTCGGATCGCCATGTCTGGCAACGGGAGGAGCTTCTTTGCAGGACATGTACAGCCTAATCAAGCTGCCGTACGTCCTCTGTATCTGGGCGTTCGCCGCGACTTGCGGCCCCGCACTCGGCCCTCTCATCTCAGGCTTCTCTGTCGCAGCCGAAAACTGGCGCTGGTCTCTCTGGGAAATGCTGTGGCTCGCTGGCCCAGTCTTCTTAGCCATGCTGCTCTTCCTTCCTGAGACCTCAACGGCCAACATCCTCCTCCGTCGCGCAAAGCGTCTACGAAAACTGACTGGTAACTCTCACCTGAAAGCCCAGTCGGAGATCGACCAGGCCAACATGAAGCCTAAAGAGATCGCCTTTGAAGCTCTCGTGCGTCCCATCCAGCTCATGGTACTGGATCCTGCGATCGGCTTCGTCTCCGTCTACATTGCACTCTGCTACGGCATCTACTATTCCTTCTTCGAAGCTTTCCCACTGGTCTACGTCGCCATGTACGGCTTCAACCTGGGCGAACTTGGACTCCCTTTCCTCTCCATCATCGTCGGAGTCCTCATCTCCATCGCCATCTTCTGGGCGTATCTATGGTACTATCTGGAGCCTCAGATCCGCAGATATGGTCTCGGTCCACCAGAGCAGAGACTTGTACCCGCACTTTTCGCTTCTTTCCTGTGTCCAACGGGACTGTTCATATTCGGATGGACATCGAATAAAGACATCCACTGGATTGTGAGCGTCATCGGGATCATGATCTTTACCATCGGGATCTTCATCATCATGCAATGTATCTTCGTATACCTCCCTCTGTAAGTTTTCCCCCCATCTTCAAACTGGACGTCTCACACTAACCACTCCTCTCGCATAGTGTGTATCCTCAATACGCCGCTTCCCTCTTCGCCGGCAATGATTTCGCGCGTTCCACACTAGCCTTCGCTGCCGTCCTCTTCTCCCGACCAATGTACATCAACCTAGGCATTGGACCCGGAACGAGTCTCCTGGGTGGTCTGACAGCGGGCTGTGTCGGCGGCGTCTTCGCGCTGTACTACTTTGGAGAGAAACTGAGGGCGAGGAGTAGATTCAGTGCCAAGTGAGGCTGTGGTTTTCTCTACCCTACCTACCATGAGTCTAGGCGATGTTTGGGTTCATCAGAAAGTTTGTCTTTGGAGATGATGATACCCTGCGTAGCTTGAGAAACGTATCGCAGCTCAAACTTTGTTATCTTTGCTGCTGGAGGAAAGCTTAGTGTGGAGGAAGGATATAATGGATATGATAGATAGATAAGAGACTTTCCGGACTTTCGACGATTCCGACGGCAGAGACTAATTTGATAATTGATACGATGGTGCGAGACTTATATATCTATATCTGTCGTTTTTATCTATCTATCTAGATACTTTCATCGGGTTCTATCTAGATACCTTGGCCTTATCATATCCACCGGAATACGATTGATCACTTCTCTTACCTCTCTTATCAACACCGTAATGAAACCCCAACCTCTCAAAGGCCACGGGGCAAGTCTGCATCCTCACCATCCCGGTTCTTTCATCATCAAGGACCTTCCCAGGTTATTATATGGTCCGCCAAGAACATATCCCCGGAGATCTTTCATACCCGGCAAATGACTTTATCTCTGACTTATTATTGGCGCAGCCCAATCCAGTCGAAGAAGATAGATAACACATCAAAACAGCAGTGGAGTCTGACCCTGGAATAGTGCTGCTCGAGCAGTAGGAGCTGGATCTCGTGCGGAGACTTTTGTGCAGCTTGGGTCTAATAAGAGAGCTGAGGCGTCATGTTTTGTTTGTGTGTGTGGCGGAGCGAATGAATGAATGGTCCGAGAGGAGAAGTGCACGTACCATTGGGGGGTTAGAGGATAGGTTTTGGCTGGGGGCAATCATGATGCTGTTTTGGAAGAAGAGGGATCATCGTGATTTTGGAAGAACTTGAACTTGGAACCTGGAAGGGAAGGGAGGAGAGGGGATGAGAAGATGGGATGGGAGAGGGTTTTGTATGGAGATGGACATTTGATTAAATTGAGTCAGCAAAGCAAGAATAACCCCATTATTATCCAGACCTTAGATAAACCAAACATGAAATTGCCAGAGACCATCCTGCTCGCAGCGGGCCAACTTTGGCGCTGCTAACGGGATGGATGGGTTGGTCATAGCACAGCAGCAACCAGAATTCCTGCTCCAGACAGTAAGCAAAGATTGTCGACGTCGAAGGGAATGAATGTACTTACTGACTTTTCTCTAGCAGCCAATGCACCACCTGCTCCCGCCGCTGCTGCCGGTCTCATAGCACCTGATACCTATTCCTCCTGGAATTCTCCACCAACTCGATCAAAGCAATCCACCTCCGCCGCCATGCCAGGCTCCACTTCCTCCAGGTACGGCCACGCTGCCAGACCTTCTTCTGAGCCATCACGGACCTGGAGCAGGCACTGTCGGACCTCTTCCACGAGTACCTGCTGCTGGCGCTGATCTTTCACCACCTTCAGGGATCGCCGGTGCCGTTGGTATGAAGAATCAAGGGCAGCTAATCGAGAATGCTAGCCGCGATGATGACTGGAACGATGATGATGCCGATGGAGTTGGAGTTGTCGGGGCGAATTCAAAGGGCAAACAAAACCTCATCAAGGAGGAATAGGAAGTCGCGAGGTGCTGCAGAACGGCCGACGGGTATGATGGATGATGTTTCTTTTCTTTTCTTCTCAAGCTGTCGCAACGGCGACAGGATGGGGCTTGCTTTTGTTGGTTCCGCTTCGTCGTCTCAAAACCAGCGATAAGAGAATGATCGGGCAGAGGATGATGATCGCGCTGTACTTCGCCTTCATGTCGTCTTCCGTGTCTTCTAAAACGCCGTCGAGATAAGTTCGTATAAAGTGGGAAACGGCGGTCCTCTTTAGCCATGACCCAAACCCCCCGGAGCCCAGGAATGCCTGCACGGTATTCCAGCATGTATGCGCAATTCTCCGGTTGTTCCGATTGTCATTCGGACGTCAACGGTGCAGCTCACAAAGCGGAGATCCAGTGCGTGTGAGTTGTCGGTATTCCTGGTCTTGCTGTACAGGTCTGGGAAGCCCTGTCGCTGGCGCGAAGTCTATTTCGCTCTCTATCCCGAGCGGACTACAACTGCAGCACATGCAACCTCACCTTCATGCTTGATATTTTTGGCGCAGACGCGTAGACCGCTTTAATGCATGCAGTCGCCGGCCGCCTTCCCTTGGCTCTTTGCAGTGCCTGCGACTTTTAAGATACTCTCGATGCCGCTTTTGAGGACGTGTGAGTGACCTCGGCCTGAGTACATGGTGCAACACTGTGCATAATTTTCCTTCCAGAGTAGCACATGAGCGCCCGGTATAACTTCGTCTTGAGCCTCACATCGAAGTGCTGCTGCAAAAGAACCGACGACGTCTGCGAAAGTCTGCATGAGCCGAACAGCTCTGTAACGCTGCTCTTGCGTCTTGCTTCCCCATGACCAAGTTGCAGATAACACGCTGAAACGCCTTCGCGGCGACGTATTCGTCACAGACAGCTTCCAGAGACGACGCCGACCAGCGTTTACGTCTCGGTTTCAGGGAGACTGCGTGACAAGGCCAGTGCCAAGGCTCTAATAGGGAATTCTGGTTGCTCCAAGGGGGTCGTCCTCTTCCCTATGGACAAGCCAACGAAGCACGCGTACGTCGTCCTTTGTATCGTAGACCAGCGCCGTGAAGATGGACCTGCGTTGCTTGCGTGGACACATTCGGAGTCCGTACAGAAGACGGAAGATGTACTCGTGGTGCGTATAAGAACAATCACCTACAGACTGTTAGCAGAGACGGTCTCTCTCTCTCTCTCTCTCGAAGCGTCCTTGCGAGCGCCACCCTTACCAACAAGCCGCTTTGTTCGCCCCCAACATGTTCAGCCCCCGATTGCTCCTGACCCTCGCGGCAACCGCACTCCTAGCCGTCCACGCACAAAACATCGACGACAATGACATTCCCAACCAATGTCGTGACACTTGTCGACCAGTGAAACGTCTCTCGGACGGCTGCCGCAAGAACAACAATGGAAACGATGACTTCAGCAACCCCGGCTTTGCCCAGTGTGTGTGCAACTCTCCAACGTCAAAGGATGATATTGTCACCTGCAACAATTGCGTCATCCAGAACCTCAACTATTTCACCAACGCCAACGGCAACAGACAGAACTGTGAGTCAACGACACAAAGAGGTTCAACGTACCTTGAGCCGCTAACTTAGTCCTCCAGACGTCGGCCAATGGTACACGAACTGCGGCTACGCCAATGGCGGTGGCTATGGCGGCAACGGCTTTGGTGGTACCGTAGGCAATGGTGTGGGTTACTACACCGGTACTGCGGCATCGGCTGTAGCTCCAGCGGCATATTTCGGTGCTGGTACGGTCTGCCTGATTGCGGCGATCGTGTTGTAGAGGCTGAAGGACAAGAAATGCTGGCGATGAACGGGCATGGTCGAGCTACTTTTTGCATGTGGCTGGGGTGTTCAAGGTTGGGAGAGTCCTGAGTTCTCTGGTTAGTCCACAGTACAGCATAGGATAATGACAAGTGCGGTGCGCATCTAAGCGTTCGGCATGCTCACCAAGTCTGGTGTATATACCCATGTCACGCAGCCCCCGCCCTTCCCTGAGAAGGGTATGATAAGTCAATGCTCTCTGTACATTCTTTCGCTATGCTCTGTTCTACATTCAGCTGCTGTAAGCGCTGGTGCGATATCACATCATGCCAAAAAGCCATGAAAAGCGTCCTTGGGTATAATCATGGAAACAAAGCGAGACTTCTTCCTCCAAATCAACGCGGAAAAACCTCTTCCAATCGCGAGCCTCTAAGTGCCGCGGAAGAGGAACTGCATGTCCTCCGGCGTCAGCTTTTCCATGGACGTCTTGTCGTTGTTGATGGTTCCGTTAATCATGTTCGCCTTCTTCTCTTGCAGCATAACCATACGAGACTCCACGGAGTCCTCAATGCAAAGTCGTGTGATGACGCAAGGTCGCTTCTGTCCGATACGGTGGCAACGGTCAGCGCTCTGCCACTCTGCTGCTGGATTCCACCATGGATCGACGATAAAGACGCGCGACGCCTCAGTCAAGTTCAGTGCAACACCACCGGCCTTGAGTGAGACCAGGAATATCTCGCAATCCGGGTTCGTCATGAAGTGTTCGATGGACTTTTGTCGCTGAATCGGCGTCATGGAGCCGTCGAGCATGACAGTATTGAACCCAGCCCGGCGCAGACGCCACTCGATCAGCTGCAGCATGGATGTGAACTGCGAGAAGACAATCGACTTCAGCGTCTGCTTCTTCGAGCGGAGCTTGTACAGGTCGTAGATCAACATTTCGATTTTGGTGCTGCTCGTCCAATCCTCCATCTTGATCCGATTGATAATCGAAGACTTCTTGACGACGTCCTCATCTTGCTCGATGTCAGGCTGATCAAAGTCGATCGAGAGGGGGATGTGGCAGCGTGGGCAGTCGGCTTCTCCGCCCGTTTCCTCAACAGACTGCACGTAGCTCTTGACGCAAGCACGGCAGAACTCATGCTTGCACTGCGAGCGAATAGCCTCTTCTGCAACCTCGTCACAGATGTTGCAAACGAGTACATTCTGCCCTTCTTGAGCGTGCTTCTTGAGAAGTAAATCGGGGTGATTCGCCACCTGACGCATCTGCATAATAAGACCGAAGATGTTGGCATAGTTGTTCAACATGACACCCCGAGCGACGTAGGTGTCGAATTGGCGTGTGGTGTTGGACATGATGCTGGAAGAGAAGTCGCGTTCAATCGCGCCGAAGAACTCATTGTGTACGATGACCTCCTTGGGTGGCAACTCCATCGAGCTGACGTAGTCGCGCTTCATACGCCGCAGCATGATACGAGCCGTAATCATGTGCAGCTTGTCCATAGCCCTTGAGCGGTCTTTGGGATCCTCGGACTGTGTGAGAGGGTTCAGCAGCTCCTGGTTGAAAACCGAGACGTGTTCCATTCCTGAGTGCTTGCATGTCTTGCACATGTGGTCCTCATCAAGCTCCCAATGGAGCATTGAGCAAGGGCATCTCTTGCAGAAGTAGTCGGCGAACGGTCGAACCTCCAAGAAACGTAGCAAAGAGAAGAACTCTCCAATTCGATTCTGTACAGGAGTACCGGACAGGCACCACTTGTAGTCCGCAGACAGGGCAAAGCAAGCTTTAGCAACACCAGTGGTGCGAGACTTGATGCAGTGGGCCTCGTCCAGTATGACACGGTGGAACTTGATGGCGTGGATGGGCGAATTCTCCATGACGATATCGTCTCCGCGAGTCCAACCCTTGATCTCCTTTCGATGGAGCGACTCCAAGCTGTTATAGGAGATCATGATGACGTCGTTTTTCTTCAAATCTTTCACGCTCAGCTTCTTGATCTTGGAGTTTTGGCCGTGGTAGACGAGAACTTTCAGCTTTCCATCGGTGTAGTCGCCAATCTCGGAGGACCATTGCATAAGTGCAACAGGCGGCACCACCACCAAGGTGGGCTGCTTCTGTGGGTAGTCAGACATGATAAGCGATACGGCCTGTATGGTCTTGCCCATTCCCATTTCGTCGCCAAGCAGACCACCCTTGTACTGCGTCTTTTCCTGCTTGACCATCCAGTCGAGGCCTTCAAGCTGAAATGGCTTGAGGCGGCGGTTGATGCTATCAGGCTGCGTCGCTGCCACCGGCTTGATGACCGGGATCTTCTTGAGATCGTTCCACATAGTCTTGATCGAAGGGTGGGCTTTTTCTAGCTTCTTGCGCTCACGCTCCTTCCGCGTGAGCATTGCATTAGCAACATGGTCTTCGATTTCTTGCCGGATCTGGATGCCACGAGCTCGTGAGATGTTTCCGAACCGCTGCCGGCGCGGACCACTGGAGGCACGGCCTCGACCGGCAGCTGTCCTACGAGCTGAGGTGGAAGACCGGGACACCGCAAGTATCACATCCGACTCGGTGCCACTAGCATCGGTGGTGACCGCATCAGTCCCTTCATCATCCACGAAAGAGTCCTCGCTTTCATCCAAAGCGGATAGCTCTTCTTCGGACTCTTCGCTGTCCTCGATTTTGATCTTCCTACCACGAGACGCAGGGCCTGCAGTTGCCGTGTTCTCAACACTCGACGATCGCTTGGCCACAGATCGAGAGGTTGGCCGTCCAAGTTTGCGCTTGGAGAGCGGAGCGCTGTCGTCGGAATCAGAGTCACTAAGCATGTCCAGGTCTACGCCCTCGTCTTCCGAGTCCTCAATCTTCAGCTTGCTACGCTTCTTTGGAGGCTCCGCGCCTGCCTGTGTGTATTCTTCTTCCTGCAATCGTCTCGCCAAAGCCTCATCGTCATCTTCGCCATCTTCGGAGTCCTCGATCTGGAGGACGTTCTGTCCGAGCGCTGAGCGCTTACGCTTTGCGGTCGAGATATTCCCGCGAATGGATGTTGCCGGAGTTGTTCCTGGCGTCTCATAATCGACCGAGGAATCACGAGAGGTATTGTCGATCGAGGTGAGTGACGAGTCGGTGGGTGAGGTGGACTTGCCGGGCTTGCTGTACGAGGCGCGAGCCATGGCGTCGATCGGCGGCAGAGCAACGCCCTTTACAATGCGTCTCCTCCCTGATTTCGGAGCAAGCGTAATCTTATCTTCGACCTCTTCAATGACGTCCTCGTCATCTGTCGTGTCCGGTATGGTCGTTTTGACCCGATTCGTAGCAGTGGCGACGCTGCCGCGCAGGGAACGCCGTGAGGGTGTTCGAGTCGCTGGTTTGGCTGATGAGGAAGCAATGGTAACTGATTCTCCGTCAGTTGTGTCTGAGCAGAGCTGTGGAGGAGATGTAGGGAAGAAGAGTGACTTGGGGTATTGTGGCGTACATGTTACTTTGCTCCCTTGGGCGGCGTATCCCTTCGGTCTTGCCATGATGCGTGAATAGCTTCCGGAAGACGCTAGGCCAATTCAAACGTCGTCGTTTGGTTCACCCAGAGTGAAACATACGTGAATGGCACAGGCAGGCCGTGCAGAATGTCGTTGGTGATGTGGAGAAAGGTGAAGAGTAGAGAGAGGAGTGGACACTCACGGGTCTGCACGGTCTTTCGCGTTGTCTACGCGCACGAAGATCTTCTTAGTGCGATCGTGTTATGCAGGGGTGCCTCAAGATCTTGCTCTCGTTGCCACCCCCTGACGGCCCGTACGCTCTTGTGTGTCCGTGGATGGCCCTTCGATCGTGCTCATGAAGTTGATGAGAAAGGCGTTGCAGTCTATGGACGCCAAGAATGAAGGCAACGACGAGGGGTTCGAGGCAGAGGCAATAGCGCATCTTTGGAAGGCAGAACCCAAGCACACAAGTGTGTCCTGTGCTGCCTGATCGGATCTCGGCAAACTAACCCCGGCTAGGCTTCCTCGACGCGTCGCGCGCGTAAAGTGGTCTTGGCACCGACATCGAGTGAATGGGGATTTAATCCACAATAGTCTGACAGTAACGAAAATGCGATCGAGGTGGAGATGCTTCATTCCTGACCCTGCGTGTAATTATTGACTTGGATTGATCTGCCCTCGTTCGTCGCGCCTTGCCCTGAAGTACGCCCGTTGGTCTGCTGACGAGTACCGTCTCCTGCAATCGAGGCACATTGTGCGCAAAGATGGTATTGGACCTCAGCTTCATACAGCTGTTGTAGCGCTTCTACTTGAGGTGCCTGCTCCTTAGCGCGTTTACGACAAAGCAGGGCAGGTGTTGCCAACTAGTATCTATACCACCCTTTTTAGGGAATTGCCATCATCCTTGACCGCTCGAAGATGCGCTCATGCGCTCGCTCATCTCATGGTGGAATCGATGTTTCCGCTATTTTCTGTAGCGTCGCCAAGCCCAGAACGCTCTCGTGGAACTTTGGAGACTCCAACCAGTGCCTTCATCGAAGCTGTCGTGTCAGGTCGAATTGCAGCCTAGTAAAGGCATTTTTGGCATCTCGAGGTGGTTCGATAAATCGCTTGGTGTCGTTGAACAACCCCAAGTTCGCTGTTGATCACTTTTTGTGCAACGTGTAGACCTTTCGTCCATGAAAAGCTTCTGTCTGCACCGAGGGGGCGCTGGAGAAACTTGCGGTCAAAGATGTGACAGCGTAAGTGGCACTCGGTATCTGGGTTCCCATCTGGAGATGCTCGGAGTACCGACCGCCTTTCCACTTGCGAAATGTTGTCCATCTGTCACAGATAGCCACTGACCACTCACAAAGCCGAGCACGGCCTTGGGATCAACGATTGCATCCCACGTCTTGCTGTTTGCTCTTCATTTCGTCAACACCGATCCTACACGTATCAGGAAGCGAGTGGGTTGCAGAAGCAATGCATGTATACGCATATGAGAATACTATTGTCCTGTCAAACTTGTCAGTGAATAGAAGCATCCCAGTGAACACATGGAAGTAGCACAGTCGAACCAAGTTGCATTCGGCACCGAGAAAAGCCACAAGCACTTGCAACTCGGCCGGTCTCGATACCGAGCCATGGGAATGCTCACCGCTATGGAATTCAACGCCAGCAATGTGGAGATGGAGACGAGCTCTACTATGCACTCCTTTTGCACTTCACAATAGAAGAAAAGAATGTCGACGCGCAGCCTGTCGTTCATGCAGATTAGCGCTTTCGGAGAGCGCGCCATTCAAACTTTGTGGCTGCTATGATGCCTTGAGTAGGCCAGTCGAGAGTTTACCGTCTAGTTGAATTCGTCCAAGCGAGATGCCTAAAAGGATACGGGGAAAGCGACCCTCGACACAGGAAAGAATCTCACACGGTCGAGCCAGTTCCCATCGAGTCTGAGCAGAGGAGACCACATGACATGCAGCCTGTGATTGCAATATCGAGTGTGGAGCGCGATTCAAGTTGTCCTGGCTCTTGTGCTTTCGGGGATGCGGGGTGCGATTCCAGAAGCTGTGAAACAGCCACACCATACGCAATGCGTCAAGGGTCGACGCGAAGGCTGCAGGTCCGCGATAGCGCGTCGCGGGAAGGTGCCGTGGAGACGCCAGTGGAAAAGTCGACCATTGTACACCAGATCAGGTCTGCGCAATCGTGAAGACGACGATCAACAATTCGCTGTCGTTGGCCGGGAACACTTGCAGTGAGCTTCAAGTGAAGGTATACGCGGTCTTTCCCAATGCAGTGACAAGCGGACCAAGTCCTAGATTGTCCTAGATTGTCAGGGGACATGCCATCTTGGCTCCCACCAGCAGACAAAGTAGTGCTCTGCAGCACACAGAATTCGCCCTGAGCCGTCGGGGGGACAAACCTTATTCCATTTAGTGAAGGATCGGAGGCAGACATGCAGTTGGCGTCGTCTGGCGTGGCGTGGTTGACTGCAGCGCTGCTCGTCGTGGGCGCGATGCATGTCCACCACTCCAGATGCTCTCATCGCTCGCGGATATTCTCATGCCTCGTCCGATGCTTGTGCTCGTGCTTCACCGCTAGAATTGCCCCTCGTTGCAACGGGTCCACAAGGAGGCAGATAGGAGAGCTGGTCCGGCAAGTGCGTATATAGAGCTGGTGCCGTTGCAGAGAGCTTCTGTTCTTGCCTCGATCACTATTGCACACTCCATAATTCTTGAATCAATCCTTCAACTACGCGTTTCCAATTGCCAAAATGCCACACACCGAGCTCAACAGCAAGTCCGACTTCGACAAGGCTCTTGACACCAAGGGCAAGTACGTCCTCATCTACGCGTACGAGAACTCTGTCAACCCCAAGGCCGATGAGTAAGCCCGAATCAGATGAACTAAGGCCTTTGAACACTGCTGATGGAATCGACAGGTACGCCTCCTCGTACGCCTCCAGCACCGACGCCTACAAGGTTGATGTTGCCAAGCACGCCGCCGCCAGGGTGAGATCTTCCTAACAACGTGGTGTTGCGTGTCCGATGTCTGACCCGGCTGTAGGAGTACTTCGGCGTGACGACTGTCCCAACTATCGTTGTCTACAAGGACGGCAAGGAGGTCAAGAAGGTCGAGGGTGCCGATCAGGCTGGCATGGAGGAGGTCCGCAATCTCCTCTCTTAAGCCATATCATGTTTGGCGCATTGCGTGTGCATGTACGGCACTACAAGTAAAACCGAGTGGCAGTCCTGGAACGGCAAGTAGTTCGAGTAGATGAGAATGGAAAAACATTCGACACCGTATGACCGCTTCCACCTTAGGTGCTCTCCCCGGTGACACTCATCTCTCAATCCATAAAGCCTATCTGTGAGTGTAGAATGCTGCGCTCCGGTGGCTTGGCTTCGGATTCCAATCTGGTCGAAGTCATCTCGGAATTCGTAATTTGTGCTGTGAGAAGTCCAAGATTCGTACACCGTAGACAGATTGAGCGTTGCGGATGCACTTGACCAAGACCAGTCTTGGCTCTTTGCCTTCAGATGAACTTGTCTCGACAGACGGCAGGATGCCTGCGCTCCAAAATGCTCATACTCACTTTTCATGTTGCTCCAGTGCAGGTGAGGCCATCCAAATATGTGCGAATGTGAACTTGGGGTTCATGTTTGATAAGATGCATTATTACATGTAGTGGGAAAGAAAGTGAACGCGTCAAGGTCGCGCACCTCGTGAGCTGGGGCCGTTCTGCGGCACCGGCGCCGGGACAGCCCGATCACCGTCCTTTGGTGAAGCTCCAGTCTTCTTCAGCACAGCAAACGACAGAGATCGCTACAGCATTTCTCTCATTACGCCACGCAACACTTTCGGCGGAGATTTCCCCAACAACACTTGCGATCATCGACCGCCGCTCTACGAGAAGCGCCGTATGAGCGCACTCCACGACGCGAGCGTGACGGGCTTCGGCCAGCACATCCGACAACGATATCCTACTACCACCACTACCTCCTCTTCCTTCGAGTTCATCCTTTACGACACCTTGTCTATGTTCAACGTCCTCGTTCACCTTCCAACACACCTCTTGCTACCTTTTTCGATATCCGACGTCGAGCATCATGGCGCCCGCCAGCAATAAGCGCAAGCGACCCGACCGGCAAGCAAACGAAGACGATGGCGCGAACCGACCGTCTCCCTACAAGCCCGAGAAGTCGCGCTTGACTCGTCGAGCCTCTCAAGATCCAGGGCAAGCCGATGGTATAGAATCAGGAAGCCCCGTCGAGCAGCGAGAGCGCCCTACGAACGGCACGCCGCCGCCCGCAATGTTAGTCGCATCATACATACCACCATGACCGGGCGACCGCCATGGGAAGAGATAGTGGACAAGCTGACTCGAGGACTCTCTTCAGATCAAATTCTCGTGATGGTACTGAAACACCTGCGCACGCAATGGACGCATCCTCCGAGGGACCAACGGGCACGCACACAGGATCCCAATCTAGCACGACAGGCTCAAGACCGAAGCAACCGTATTCTTACCAGCACCTCACGGATGACGTGTTGTCCAATTGGACCGAGTCCGGGAGCCAGGGCATCATCAATACCACTACGCAATTGGATGACTTGCAATTGAGCGACATCTTTTTAGAGCTGATTCGGTCCGCCTTAGACGGCAGGCTCAACAGCCGGCAGGCAGGATTGACTGTACGGGAAATTATCTCACGTCGGCAGGCCGGTGATATGGATGCTACCGAGCTTTTCCTCAATACCGTCATGTTACTCTACGAGGCCAACTACAAAGGCCCTCAGCTGCGGGAACTTCTTGCAGCTACGGCCATTGACCAGCAGAAGATGCGCGAAGATCTCGATCTGGGTGCCGTGATCAGCCTTGGACTGGTGCGACCAACCTTTGAAAAGATCCGCACGCGAAAGACGACCAATGCGCTCTACCGGCAGGCCAACTTCAACTTGTTGCGCGAGGAAAGTGAGGGTTATGCTAAGCTCATCACGGAGTTCTTCAACACTGCACAAGAAGCTAGCAGTCGTGGTCCAGTTGGACCCAACATGGCTGAGGATGCTTTCCAGCGCGTGAAGGCACTGGTGGGTGCCTTTGACTTGGATGTCGGGAGAGTTCTGGATATCACTCTGGACGTCAGCGCAAACCTACTTGTCAAGGCATATCCGTTCTTTGTGAAGTTCTACCGCGCAAGCTCTTGGTGGCCACAAAACAACCTTCTGGATAATAATTTCAAGTGGGATGACTATGGATTCAAAGCCCTGCCGTCATGGGCATTACCTGGGTCCGGCCGATTCAGCCAGAGCGATGACGAGCGTGAGAAGCTTGATCAACTAAGAGAGTCTCGGGACGCTCGATTCTGGGACAATGTGCGACAAACCGGAATGGACGCTTACTTCCACCTTGGCGCTCGGCAGATCGTCGACTTCGACTCCATGGCCCCTTCACTTCAGGAAGAGGTGCCTCCAGAGTACGACAACAAGGGAGCAGAGGTTAATGCGAACAAGCGCCATCGACTCAACGAGGACAAGGTGTACATGCGCGAGACACGCTGCTTGCCACCACCAGGCAACTACGATGCCGCACAGCTACTCGGATTCAAGTTGCGATTTTATGCTTCTGAAGCTCGCGACAAAGATGACAGGCTTCCCGAAAATCTACCATGGCTTGCTGCTCTGCTGATCAAGATCGGTTTCATATCCATCCGGGATCTCTACCCTCATCTCTACCCCACAGATAAGGAAATGCCGGCAGAGAGAACCCGACTCGAGAAGGAAAAGGCTGAGAAGGAAGCCAAAGAGCGCCCGGGTGGCGGCGTGAATGCCCTGTTAATGGCCGGTGCACTGACAGATGACACGCTGCCAGCTCCACGACGCATTGAAAAAGACAAGAGTGGAGGCGCAACGCCTGCTCAAGAGAAGAACGACGAGCCAGTAGAGAACTTGAAGATTCCTGAGAACCAAAAGATCCTACTGTTGAAGGCCCTCCTTCTTATAGGTGCCTTGCCCGAGGCTCTGTACATTCTTGGCCGCTTCCCGTGGCTACCTGAGGCCGACTACACCATTCCGCCTCTGTTGCATCGCCTAGCCAGACACATGCTGAGCAAGGTTGCTGAGTCTCTGCATCCCTTGAGAAGCCACGAAGGCTTACGACAACCTGCAGAACAGTTAGCAGAAACAGTCTCGCGCTCTGATGGCGCTCTCCTCTTTGGGCCCCGGCCATCGAAGCGCGTAACCCGTTGGCTGTATGGCGACGAGTTCTCAACAAAAGACGGCATCGACATGCGGCACTATTACGGGGACTGGTGCGGTAATATTCCGGTCTGTCAGAATCTTGACGATGTCTTCAGTCTCTGCGATACCTTTCTGGGATATCTTGGAGCTAAGATTGGCCAGGATGTCATCCTCTATGGCACATTGCTGCGACTCGCGCAACACAGCCTGGGAGAGGACGACTCCGAGAGCAATCGGGCTCGCTGGCTGGCATTGATGAAGCGCCTTCTAGTCCCTGCTCTCAGCTGCAGCAAGCACAACCCCGAGCTCGCGCGGCAAGTTCATGAGCTTTTAAGCTTGTTTCCGACCTCTACCAGGTACTACCTCTATGCGGAATGGTTCACTGGCAAGACTTCCAGACAGCCTGATGTTCGTGCCGCTTTCGACAAGAACAAGGCGGAGGTTCGTGATGTTCTTCGCCGCGTGTCAAATGATTCGGTTAAGAAGCAGTCACGCGCACTCGGCAAGATCTCGCTTTCCTCACCCGGTATCGTGATGATGGAGATGATCAACCAGCTCGAAAGCTACAGCAATATGATACCGAGCTTGGTCGATTGTACCAAGTATTTCTCCCCCCTGGCCTGGGACGTCCTGAACTGGGCCCTTCTCAACTCTCTTAGTGGCATGGGTCGCGACAGGATGCAGGCAGATGGCATGCTTACGAGTCCTTGGTTACAAGCCTTGGCACAATTTGTGGCATCGCTGTTCGCGAAGTACAGCCACCTCAGCCTATCCCCCATTCTTCAGTACCTTGCGTCGGAGCTCCGTGTCGGCAATTCAACAGACCTGGAACTACTGGAGCAAGTGCTTGCTGAGATGGCTGGTATCCGATCTGACGTGGAATACAACGATTCTCAAGTCTTGTCAATGGCAGGTGGAACGACGCTCCGGACTCACGTCTTGTCGCAGTTATCTGATAGCAGACATGCCAAGCAGGCGGAAGCTGGTCGGCTCATGAGAGCTTTGCGAGGCTCAGGGCTTATTACACAGTTCCTAGTCGCCATTGCACAGGAGCAAAAGATCTATCCCCACCACAACGCCTCCCGTTTCATGCCGCTAAAAGTACTGGGCAACAACTTGGACAAGGTATCAGCAGTGTTTCAGCAGTACCTCGAAGTGCTCACGACAAACTTGGACGCGCGTAAATTTGAGCAATCTGTCCCAGATGTGTCTAGTCTGGTGGGAGATTATGGCCTCGATCCTTCAACTGCTCTTACCATCCACCGAACAGCCATTCAGAGTCGTGCGCTTGAGTTCGATGCTGCGAAGAAGAACGAATCAGACGCTCGGAAAAGTGCGACTAAGAGAGAATCATCTGGGGCCAATGGCGATACGCTCGTGAAAGATGCAATCGCTGCTGTGAAAGAGGGAGGTGAACAGCCTTCTGCTGACACGGAATCCGCGATTGAACCGGATGGCGGAACTCCACACAACAATGAGACTGGCACTGGAGACCTTCAAAATTCGTCGTCTCCATGGCACCCGGTCCGAGAGCCTATCATACATCAACTGGAGGCCGTTGTGCCAGAGCTGGCAAGTCGCGTCAGCATCCCCTTCTTTGTCACTTTCTGGACGTTGGCACTGGGCGACATCCTGATGCCAATGGAAAATTACCAGACTGAGGTCACGAAACTCGAATCTCAGATCAGCGAAATCAATAGCGACAGATCTGATTTATCCAGTGCCGCGACAAAGGCACGTGACAAGAGGAAGAAAGACTTGGCAGAAACGATCGAAAAGCTCAAACGCGAACCAAAGGAACATTTGAAAATCTACATGGCCATCAGAGAACGAATCGGTGGTAAAGGCGACGGCGAGAGGACGGCTGAGAAATCATTCTGGTTCCCAAAAACTGATGTGAGAGCTGAGATTGACGCCAAACACCTGGGTTTGCTGCAAGAGTGTTTTCTCCCTCGAGCATTGATGTCGTCTGTGGATGCTCAGTTCTCCTTCGAAATGCTGAAATTTGTTCACAGCACGGGCACACCAGGATTCAGCCTCATGCATCTACTCAACCAGCTCTTCAAGAAGAAGCAGATCGCGTCGCTCATCTTTCAGTGCACTGCAACTGAGGCACAGCATCTGGGGCGCTTTCTCTGCGAGCTACTCAAATATTTGAAAGAATGGCATAAGAATCAGGGCAAGTACGAGAGCCAGGCGCTCGGTGACAAGAAGAAACTGCCAGGCTTCGCGATTTCACTCGACGAGCATGGAGAACCCAAGATGGTTCTCGAGTATGAGAACTTCCGCCGGATGCTTTACAACTTCCATGCGCATCTTAACCACGATCTGCAAGCCTGCTTCGAATCGGACGAGTACATGCACATCCGCAACGGCGTCATTGTCTTGAAGGCGATTTCTCCAATCTTCCCAAACATCAAGTTCATCGGCCAGAACATGGTTAAGCATGTTACCAAGATTTCGACCAACGACTCGAGGCAGGACCTAAAACTTGCAGCCACATCTCTCCTTGGGCCACTGAGAAGCCGTGAGAAGGACTGGGTGTTGCCACAGGCATTCCGACTTAACGACCCGGCCAAAGATGGGGCAAAGTCAGGCAGTCGAGCACCTTCCGCACGGCCTGAGACTCCTCAAGCGGGTACAAACACACCGAAGCTCAACGCTTCAGCTCCCGACTTCAAGCCTACCTCAGCTCCAGCGGTCAATGGCGTTGCAAGAACTGGATCCGCCGCCGAAGATGGAGAGATAGAAGATGAAAAGGGCGCGCTGAGCAAAACCAAGGACGTCGAAATGAAGGATGCTCCCACAACGTCCATGGAAAAGTCGGTTGTGGATAGTGGAAGACCCGCGCGTCCAGACTCCCGGGCCAGCCAGCAAGTGCCTTCGAAAGAAGCATCTAAGCCGGAGTCGAAGCCGACGACACCTGCGCCGGGCAATCCGCGAGCCTTCCACGCTGCTGGTCAACAACGAGCCGATTCGACACGAGTCGATTCAACACGAGCCAACTCTGCTCAACCTGGACCAACGCGAGCTCACCATGACCTTCCTTCACGCCCAGAGTCTGGCCACTTCAAGCCACCGCCAGCTGCACAAACACGAGCGGGTGGACGCTATTCCAATCGCGATGAGCAGTATGGCAGACTTGACCGCCCAGACATGAGGCCAGGCTCTCGCGAGCAATCACCTGGTCATCGCGGTCGCGCCAGAACTCCGCCCCCTGGTGGACCTGTTGGATCTCGCGGGTACCGTGACGAGAGGCCCTACGACCGCCAGTCTGACCGGCCACCGTATGACAGTCGAACTCCTCGTGATGATTCATACTTGCATCCTCGTCGCGAAGCGTCTCTCCAGCAGCGGCCCTCTTCCGATTTGCGGGAGCGGTCAACGCCAACAAATCGGGCCTCTGAAGTTATCACGCATCCTGACAGAATGAGCCATATCCAATCCGTTGCAGTGACATCTGAGAATCTACCGGCGCGCTCATCCCCATCGCTCGCTACTGGTTCCCAGCAGCAGCAGCCTGAGGATCAGTCTCAGATTAACCCAGCGCGATTAGCATTAATCAACGATGGGCCAGGCTCACGGGGCAGAGAGCCACGCAACGAGCGCCGCGAACGCGATGAGCGGAATGCACCGGGCTTCGGATCGCGTTCAGAGGCCAGACCAAGCGGCAGAGGTCTGCCGGAATCCGGACGAGAGCCTGGAAGCCGACAACAGCAACCAGATCTCGCGCCGACTGGACCGAAACGTGGGAGATTGCAGGAAGAGTCAAACTATGGGCGTCTGAACGGACCGCAGGATGCGCCATCTGGGCCTAGGCAGCCAAATGGGCTACCCGGAAGAGGTCGAAACTTCACGGCGCCTGTCAATGCTCGCGCAGTGGAGCCTGCTGCACCTTCGCCAACGACCAGCAGACCGCTCGAGTCACCCACTATTCCACGAGGTCCTTCCCGGCAGAACACTGGTCCTGCTTTGCAGGCAGACCGCAATAATGCGCCCAGCTCTGCACCAAGTACTCCGGCGGGCGAAGGACCTCCAGTCCACCCAAGTAGGGCTGCGCAATTCGGACAGCATCAACCATCCCCTATACAAACCACATTTCCAGCCCCAAATGGTCCCAGAAATGCCGGTTCTCCCACGACCGCACCCCCGTCTGGGCCTCGCGGGCCAGCTCGTCCTGGCCCACCAAGTGGCACGCCTACGGGACCGTCACCGGCGAATACCATTCCTCCGTCTGGGCCTGCTACCCCGGCTGAGAGACAGAGACGGGAAGGTCAGCGGCAACGTGCGAGCATTAATGCCACACTGCAGACAAATGCACCTCTGGGCGTACAGGTCAAAGGAGCATCTCGGAACAACAGTGCTTCGTTTCCAACTCCGCCCAACAGATCCGGCGTGCCAACCGTCACGTCTTCAATGGAGCCTCCTCAAAGCCGACAGTCGTTCGACAGTCGTCCTGGACAAGCTGACGCGAATTTCTCCCATCCTAATGGGCGAGGAGACCTCTTCCAAGGCCGGGGCGATGAGAGACCAGATCGATCAAGTCGGGGTCGTGGCAGTCGCGATCCCAGTCGAGAGCCCCGAACAGATTCGAACGAGCAGGCATTCCGTCAGCCGCCCGCTGGGCCTGATGATGTGAGAGATCGACGTGGCGGGCCACGTGATGATCGTCGGTCGCGCGATGAAAGAATGCCCCGAGACGCGCAGGCTAGGAGGGATGTGCAGCCTCGAGACGGCCCGCAAGCTGATCGTAGAGGAATGCCGGAGCGTCAGCAACGTGGACCGGCATCTGACATGGCTGGTGGCTTCGCAGTTCCACCGCTGCCAACAGGACCTGCTCCTCCACAGCATGAGTACGCTAGCCAGCGAGACGGACGTGGAGGCGGTGGAGGCAGGTCAGAAGGCTTCAGAGGTGGACCACTGCGACGTGAGGATGAGAGGCGTGATGGGAGTGTGCCTGATGGTGGCAGGAAGCGGAGACATGATGATCCGCAGTTTGACGGAAACAAGCGCCGACGCAGTGGAAGATAGGAGCTCTTCGAGAACTCGGGAGAAGAAGGAAAAATCTGAAGGCTATAGAGTTGGAACATGCATGCTGAGCTGAAACGTTTCATTGCAACGAACTCAAGAATTTTGTGTCATTACCACAGCACCTTACGACACGCATGGCATTACAGGTGGATGGCATTGTAGCGGCGTTTGGGGAAGCCAGGAAGTCTTCCTGTTGAGAGTCCTTGTCGAAGTATAGCGAGGCGTTTCCAGGGGCCCACAGGGCACAGGGCACAGGGCAGGCTACTTCAGTAGTAGTAGTACGTGAATGCAATAGACTGAAAGCGAGCAAGCCAACATAGAAAACGACCATCCGCCTTGGGCTTCAATATTTCATGAGGTTGCCAACCAATGTCCCTTGTTTCCGGCAGCCGAAGCCGGAACTCTACTCTACTTCCTCCCCATCTCGTAGACTTCACTGTTCACGCCTACCTTACTTTCTTTCCCCCCCGTCCGCCTCTTCACCATAACATGGACTACGGCCACTACAACTGCCGCGACTACCACATCTCGCCTCACTTCGCGCCCACAACCCTAACCAACGAACACCGCTCCTCCCCTCTCCTCTACCGCCATGAATCCTTCGAAGAGCTGGAACAACGCTCCCGCTCCCCAGCAAGCCTGCAACCGAAATTCCCCCTCCTCAAACTCCCGCTCGAACTACGACGGCAGATTTTCCAATACCTGCTCCCGCGCACCCTCGAGCACCACGACCCGAACCCGCTGGCGAGCCACATCCGGCGCTTCAGCGCGGTGCGGAAGCGCGTGGAAAAGGGCATGATACTCCCACCACCACCACAACAGCCCTCGTCGGCTGGGATCTCCCCCGGACCACCGGCGAAGAATAATAACGTCGTCTGGCAGAAGGGGAACGTGCGACTGCTGCAAGTCTGCCGCCAGCTGCACGGGGAATGCGCGGAGCTGCTGTACGGGGAGAACACGTTCCTGCTCTTCATCACGTACTCGGGCATCACGTTTCGGTTTTCCTGGCTGACGCGGGCGGGCATGGCTCCCAATCGACGGTATGAGTTTCTCGAACTGCTGGGGGAGAGGTACCTGGCATTGGTGAAGCGGGTGATTGTGAATGTGGATCATGTGGATAGCTATACCGGCATGATTAAATTCAATGTCAGCGGCAAGGGCTTGACGCATGGGTTGCGGAAGCAGGTCAGGAGGCTTGTGGATGCTTTGCAGCCTCCGATGGTGGTGTCGGCTGGTTTAAATGAGAGTGGACGGAAAGTCTTGCAGACTGGCAGGAACGATGGGACGACGGATTGTCCGCCTCAGCCGCCGGATTCTGCTGCGGAGGAAGAGTGGGCGTACATTTCGCACGCAGATGCGCAGGATGAGCCAGCTGAGCAGGAGAGGAGGCTAGCTAAGGTGCTCATTCGGGTCTCGAACGGCAACGCTTTCCTGGATCAAAGGAAGAGCGAAGCTGTCCAAGCGCGCGAGGGCAGCATTCGAACGTCGGAGGATTTGGAAGAAATGCTCGAGCCATTCGGAGATCTGCGAGGCGTGCGCGAGGCCGCGATCACTGGAGCGGTCACGCAAAGCTTCTCTGCCAAGCTGAGGGGTCAAATGATGAGCGAGGAGAAGAGGCCGGAGGCGTCGGTCTCGTCGATCACGAGAGGCGTGAGAGACTTTGACGTGGCTACGATGCCGCAGCTCTGTGTATATGGAAACGATTTATGAGAAAACGAAAGACGACGAAACGATCATGAAAAGACAAAGAGAAGAGCATTCTTTCTGGGCGTTTTGTCCATGGTTTGCGAAATATCCAGATTGCCAACTCAAGAGGGAGTGTAGAGGAAATTTCTCAGAGCAAACTTACTTTGCGCTCGCTGTGCTTCCTGATCCGTCGTTCGAGAAGCAAGACTGTCTATGCACCACCCACAATAATCTCTCAAGAGGTTTCGAGAGGAAACGTCTCAGCTTACGACTCTGCTTCATAGCTGCCGACTGAAAGGTCGTTGACGACGTCTGTCACTGCGGAGGCGGCCTCGCTTCTGCTCTTCACGGGCGATTTTTTCATGACCTTGATGCTCGAAGCCACTTACTCCTCGGCAGGCCGCTCACGCGCCCAGTGTCCAGAAAAGTCTGCAAATTGTCCTTCAAGACTCTGCATCAGCGACGAAAATCTTTGTCCATCCGAAAGATTTCTCAATCTCCGAGGCACGCCTGTTCGCCCCGGATGCCGACGAAGAGAAAACATATCGGACCCTGGAAGCATGGTGTGCTTACGGTCCCCAGCGTTCATAACCTGGTCCATATAAGCAGCCTCAGGCCAGAAATCTTCAGTCAAGCGATTCCCATTCCTATGCCAGCTCTTCACGCGCTTGTTGAAGCGCGTGGCGTATTTCTGCAGCTTATCGGCTCTCGGGCGGAGTTGTGGTTGCTTGGCGAGACACCTCTCGAGCAACTCCAGGATTTCCTTGTGCTTGCTTACCGTGGAAGCATCGAAGACTGCCTGAATCGTATTGCCCAGGTCAGGTTCGTACCGCTGAAGGGCAAGAAGTTCGTAGAGAATCATACCGAACCCCCACATATCGCCTGCTTTGCTGCAGATGCCGGCGGTGCCCTTGAGATGCGGGTATTTGACTTCGGCGTCGATGTAGGAGAGCACTTCGGGAGGCATGTAGATGTTTGTACCCACGGCTCCCTTGTTGGTGTGGTCGTCGTAGCTCGCGAGGCCCAGGTCGCCGATGACCACGTCTGGTAGACCGCCCTCGGTTTTGGCAGTAGGATTCCATTTCAGGAAGACATTGTGTAGCTTCAAATCGCGATGTACGACGGGGCGATGGGTAGTAGCACGTCTCCTACGACCATTCCAGGACGTGTATGATGTGACGCCGTAATGCATGAAAGCCAGAGCGTTGATCATGCTCGCCGTGAAGTGTAAGACGAACGATTCCGGAATACGTTGTCCACGGGACTTGGAGTACATTGTCAGGTTCGCAATATCGCCGACATCAGCAAATTCGCATACAATGTTGTGCAATGGCCGGCCTGGGACGTCAGTATCGCAGAAATGGTCTACCATCGTTAGCATTCCAGGATGTTCGCGCAAAGCGTCGAGCATGTTGGTCTCGTGAGGAGATATGGGGAATTTACCACTTCGAAGCTTACCGTGCACTTGCTTGATGATGAACAGCTTACCGTCAACGCGGTCGCGGACGAGAAAGAGAGCGTTACCGTTTGTCCAGTTGAGCTTGCGGATGACTTCGTATTCCTTCGCAAAACTTTCTGGACGCGCTGGAAAACGCTTTGGGTCCTTGTCCGTGGTAACCGTGTAGAATGAAGAAGCTGCAGGTCGTGTGGATCTTACTGTTGCGACGCCTTCCGCAGAGCTCTGTCTTTGATTATTTCTTGGTGGAAGAGCAGGCGGCGAGACTTGGCTCGATGCGAGGGGCGTTCCAACCGAGACATCAGGAACATGGCCTGCCGGCTCGGGAAAATCATCAAAGTGTTCGAAGAAAGCGCCATAGGTTGGCTGTCGACCATTTCGAAGATGATGTGGCATATATTTGCGTGATGGAGGTGTTGGTGCTCCCCTCAACCTGAACTCTTCATCAACCAGCTGCGACCTCTTTCTTCGCCAGAGCTGCCACCATCGCGAGCGAGACCGCGGTCTCCCCACGTGATCATGTCTTCTCAGAAGCGGAGTCCTGCTCCGTCTCCCCTCCGCATGCTCTTGAAAGTCACCACGCCTACGAAAGAATGCGGCGTGGATCGACAACATGATCGCTGCGATGAGGTACATTGGCAAGAGGAGCGCGTTCGCTGCCGATACTGCGTCGTACATTCAGCGTTGATGTCTTATCTTCGATGTCTTTGACTTCGTGTTGGCAGTTCTGTACAAGACCGGCTTGTATACAGGTTGCTCTTGCTGATGTACGGCAGTCCGATCGACAGCGACAGCGGTTGATGAAGGCTGCAGGCTGGTTTGGTCGATCCCGTAGGAGGCACACAGAACCACTTCGATTACGTTGGAGGGCGAGCACCGGTATATGTGTCTTGCCCGACAAGATCAATCTGTATTTCGAGAACAAAGGGCGCCAGTGCGTCTCTTGTGTAATCAGAAGACAAGGCCTGGAAGCCCTTTTTTTTCTTTGGTGCACAAGATCTGAGAATAAAGGAACAGCACCCGCCATTGTTTTCGGACAAAGGACACGATACCTGACGCAGACCAAATCTTTGGTCCATCGAAACAATGTCACGGCGTCGTAGGTGGATCTTGGACATGGTATGTGTATTGATACTGCGAGAACGCGTCGTTCTCCGTGCTGTGTCGGTAGAGACCGAGACCCCTCAAAGCGGGAAGAAGATCTGCGAAAATCAGGACGGACACAGTTGCATGACCAGCGCATATGCATGGTTGTATGTCTTGTCAGGATGCATGAAAACGCGCCCTTCTAGTCCTCCTGCTCCCCTCATCGCGAGAAAGGCTTGCCGCTGAGGTGGCGACGTCGGCAAAACGAACGCTATACGTCCAATGCGCAGACTTCCGGAATGCCCGGGGTGAGGAGGGAGTACAAGGCTAGCTCGACCATGTAACGAAGGTTGTCCATCAAGGAGAGGAGAGGCATTTTCCATGCGCCAATGGTGGATCTTGACCAAATGCTGCGAAGCGCAGGATTCATCTGCTGGTGTCCTTGCGAGCGTTGATGGTGGCTGCCCTTTGACGGCCGGGTGAATGTCTTGGGAGAAGAACCACACACTGTCGGGTCAAACGACCGATCACAGCAATTGTGCGACAACCAGAAAGATCGGCCCGCGCACTAGGACGCAAGCCTGATCGATAGCGAATCCTGCCGACTCGGCCCGAGAGCTGTTCCTCCTGGGCGTTGACTTGTAGCATTCTTCCCGTTATCAGACATCCGGATGGCACTCAGAGCGGAGACTTCGATCAGAGGTTGAAGGGAACTCCGGTCTGACCCAACGCGGCTGAAATGTAAACCGCATTTAGCTTTCGCGAATCTTCCGTTTTATCCTCCCGGAAGCGAGTCTCAGAGTTTGTTTCGACGTTCATGCCTTCGTGACAATGAAGAATGGGTCAGTAGGATAGGCAAATACCTCAGAAGTGGGGAAGTTCGCGTTTGCCGGAAGAAGTCGCGGCGGTATGCTGAGATTGGTCGCTATGCCACCGGCGTGTTTCGCAATGCAGCCACATACCCTTGGAAGAAAGGCTTGAGGTCCAAGCACGTGGTTCATTAGCACAGAGCCTTGCCGATAGAGCGCGTGACGGCCGCTGGGTCATCGCTTGGTTACTGTAATCCACGACAGTGTGATTGATCATCTGCGCCATGAGCGATGACGGAGAGAAAACATCCTGCTGGCTCATATTGCCATAAGAGCAGTCCAGATTCTGAGCTTCGAAGACATCAGTTAAGACGACTAACTTCTCCTCGGAATACTCTGTGCGCGTGACCCTTGGGAGAATCTGCGAGGGACTGGAGAAGACGAAGACTTGCGCAATGACAGTCGCGGTGGATACCCTGAACGTTGGATATGCCCGAGTCCAGTAACGACAGGAGGCTGGAGTCTATCGGACAGGACGATGCCACCAGAGCAACACCGAATCTCGCATCCACATGGTCGTCAGAGACGAAGTTTTGATTCCGCCGAAAAGATCAAGTCAGTACTTTCTCGATTTCGTAGAAACATCATGCCTGATTACCGCAGTGAACGAAGGGGCATAGATAGGCTCTTGGAGATTGCCGCTACCAACGAAATCGCCATCGAACGACTGTTGTAAACGATGGACGACTTCGACAAAAGGCTTCGCTTGCTGGAGGACGTTTCCGAGTCCGAAAAGAAGGCTCACAAGGAGATCCTGACGCGCGGCCAGGGATGACTGACTATTCCAAGTTTGCGCGCCGGCCCATCGATGCCAGCATTGAGGCCACGGCGACGCACCGCCTCAACCTTTGTGATGAGTGAGGACAGGGCCAAACTACTTGCGGCATCGTACTGAAGGATTGTGGTAGCTTTCGAGAAATTGCTCCGTAGAGGGCAAGACATGGCAGGGTGACCGCAGCTTTGGCGATATCCAGTTCAGGCTGTCCCACTTGCAAGTATATGTGCGCGAGACGGCATGTCATCGACAGGACCAGCCAACCGACAGGGCGCTCTGATCGCAGTTTCAATCAACAATGCTCGAATCTCTCTGAAGCATGCCGACCCATACGAGATATACGATAATGATTCGTGTTCATTCATCAAGAGTTCGCACCCTATTCAGAGTGCCTGCGATCCAGTGCACTGCAAGTAGACCCCATATCTGAAGTCCAAACAGCACATTGGATGTGGCGCCAGGAGTCACGGTCCCAAGACCGCTTGTCGCTACGTGGATCACACTGAGAATGTGATGATCCGCTTGAGTGGCCAATCCACCAATCTCTATTCGCAGCCGGCGAATCTGTACCGCCAAACGCTGCGTGTTCGATCTGCTCGCGCGTTCGCGTGCGGTCAGCCAAAAAGATGTGGACAAGCGATGCTCTCCAGTCTCCGCGAAGTCGAGAGCTGCACCGTGCTGTAATAGGCTGCGTGTGATTTCCGTGACCGTCGTGGTCATGGTTGCCTTTCACAAGCCCTGTTGGAATCGCAGACAAGTCAGACAGCTGATCCAGCTACTGCCCTAATTTAGCGTACCAGGTTCGGCATCTGTTACCTTGGTGCTGTTACCGGAATTTTAAGCGAGATGCTCCCGCTTCACATGCCAATGAGAGATCTCAATCTCGATTCGTCTGGACAAGTCAGGTCAGCAACCCATGGTCATTCGCAAAGCTTGCTCACACAGGGGTTTAAAGCCGATCCGACTCTGGATGAATGCGATGGTCTGCTACCTCTTACATTTGATCGTGATTTGGCTCTGTCTAAGCGTGAGACGGCTCTTTCTAAGCGTAAGACGGCATGTCCGTGACGTGCGATGCGGATTCTGACGTTATTGACTCTGCTTGGCGTGTGATTGGCCGACAGAGCCGCAGGGAAAAGAATCTGCCAGTTGCATGAGCAAGGAGACAGAATTTGCCGTCCCTGCCTTCTCGGTGGTATCGAATCGGCTGCTGTATGCAGGTGCAAAGTGTGTAGGCGACCAAGAAGATGAAAACGGACGGGCACGGAAGCGCTAGACCCCAGCCTGTCTGACGCCATCTCGGCTGCGATTGGTCGGGTTGTAAGTATCTTCATGTCGCGGTCGGACGAACGACGTCGGAACGAGAAGCAGTGATTTGCACCGGATGTACCAGAAGGGTGAGGGAGGTGTGCATGGTACAGTATGCAAGGTTGCAAACAATCACATTGCGGAGTCGTCCGTGTCAGCTCAAGGTCATCGGAAGCCAAGGGTTTGCAAGTGTTTCAAAGGCACGAATGTGCGAAGGTGATGCGTCCAAGCACCGAGATCCACTAAGTTTAGACTCAGGCGCGTGCACAGCAAGCTTCTCGCGCTGCATGTGAAATGCGCTGGTCCAGTCTGTGCAGTGGCTTTGCGGGAACCAGCAGCGCTGGTCCTCGTCCCGCCGCCGCGACCTTACTCTTGTGTGCAAGCTCCGTCTCTTCCTCCGACGGACAGTGCAGTTACGTTACGTAGGCGGCGCAGGACGAGCTGGAGCGAGCGAGCGAGGAGGAGAGTAGAGGAGGAAGAAGGGTGGGCGAAGAAGGGACGCATCAGGTCGGTCGAGGCAGAGGCAGAGGCAGAGGCAGAGGCAGCAGGGCACCAGAATAGATGTGCAGAAGCAGATGAGGTCGCCTCGCACACAGATGCTGTCCGGGGAGCAGCTGCCGAGCCAGGACAATCCTGGTTGGCGTGCGCAGGCATCTCGACACGCCGGCCAGAACATTACCCTCAAGGATGGCATCAAGGATACGATCAAGGATGGCGTCAAGGATACCGTCAGGGATGCTTCGACCAGACCAGACAGAGTCGAGATGCTTCGTGTGCTGCGGTCAGCACCCGAGCCACGATGACAGCAACGACTACTGCTTGGAAGCGAGTGGGCGAGGGAGGGAGGGCGTGGTCGCGGTCGCGGTCGCGGTCGCGGTGGCGGTCGCGGTCGCGGTGTGGCCGGATTAGCGGCATGGAGTCTCGTGGTGCACCCAGACGCATGGTGTGTGTGGCAGCGGGAGGAAGGATGACAGCCATGTCTGGTGTGTGGGAGCAGCGTGCTCGCGACGCGACGGGTAGACGGGAAGACGGGAGTCTTGGCCATCTGATTGATTGGCGAGGCGTGCGGATGGAGGCGTCTTTGGTACGGCACTCTGCGGTGGGTGGCGCTTTCCTTGGACGCCCAGTCGCGGTTGCCATTCGCCATGGCTGCGGCACAGAAGTCAGCAGCGCGGCAGCAGGAGCAGCGTGAGGTGGACAAAGGAAGTCGCGATCGGCGACAGGGAAGCGGGCAGGCATCGCAGGCGGAGGTGCAAAGCCGAGAGACAGAGTGGGGACGGGGCTCGCAGAAGCCAGCCGCAACCTTGAGCTAGTGGGAGCGAATGGATCCTAAGCTCTGGCGCTAGCAAGCGAGCTTATGCACCTCTCTTCGATGATCCATCTGCGCGCTCGCCGCCACGGGGCTACACGCACGATTCGGTCGCTTCGCTCTCTGGCAGACGCGATGTCCGTCTCAAGCAGCTTGTCACAGAGCAGCAGTGCAGCACGGCAATCAGCGTGGCAGAGAGCGGACGCCGTGCCCGCGCGCGCGCGCGCGCTCGCTGCAGGCGCAGGGCAGGCACGGCACGGCACGGCACAGCAGGAGGTGAGGCTCGTGCCTGCCCCGTACCTCCCAGCACGCCGTATGCCGAGAGGCACATGGAAGACTCTCCTCATCGGGACATGACTGATGATGGGGAGTTCATTGAGAGGGAGAGGGAGGCGTCGATGGCGACGGGAAGCTGCATTCGCCTGCACTTTGCAGGACGCCTGCTGACCCGCCGCTGCCCTGCCCTGCCCTGCCCTGCCCTGCCCTGTCCTGTCCTGCACTGGCTCGTGTCTGTGTCGGTGTCGGTGTCGGTGTCGGTGTCGGTGTCTGCTGGTCATCAGCCATCACCGACGCGCCCAGGTCGAGCGTTGCCGGAGCCGCATGGAGGCTCTCAATACATCTCCGATGCACATGTCAGTGTCTTGATACACACAGCTTCACACGTGCTGCGGTGTTGGCTCGCAGACGTTTTGGAGAGCAGGAGTGGGGCATGCGAATGTGTGGGTGTGAGGGAGGGAGGTTCAAGGGTAGTAGCGGTAAGGTGCAGAGAGTTAGCGGCGCGGCTGGCATGTGCCTTGACTGGGGCCGTGGCCATCCCGATTGACGGGGTCTACATTTGTATCCGGCAGTGGCTTGAGTCTTTTCGCGTTAGCCTGGCCCAACCGCACCCGTTCACGTGCCCGTACCGTCACGGCGTCCTCGCGCACGCCGCTCCTCAGCAAACGACTCGACACTCATCACTGTGGACGACGACGACGACGACGACGACGACGACGACGACGACGACGACGGAGAACGAACGCGAACGGGTGCCTTCTCTTGCGTTGCGTTGCGTTGCGTTGCGTTGCGTCGCGTTGCCTTGCCTTGCCTCGCCTTGCCTTGTCTTGCTTTGCCTTGCCTTGCCTTGCCTTGCCTTGCCTTGCCTTGCCTTGCGTTTGTTTCTGAGAGAGCGCGGTAAACCCAGTTCGCCTTCAACTACCCTCCCCTACTGCTTCGAACTACACCATCTGCCGGTTGTTCAGCCCTTCCATCACCACCGGGCATCCACCCTCCTCCACCATTCCCTCGCCCAACCGGCGCCGTCGATGGGAGCGGTGGCTTGTGCCCGCGTGTCCCGCTTCGATCATCAACTCCTCCTCCATACCCAACACACCCACCCACATCCCATCCGCTACGCTACGCTACTCTACTCTACTCCACTCGACGCTACCCGTGCTGCTGCTGCTGCTGCTGCTGCTGCTGCTCCTCCTCCTCCTCCTCCTCCTCCTCCTCCTCCTCCTCTTCCTGCTGGTCATCTTCATCGCAAACCCTCTCGAATCATACCTCCCGCTCTGCTGCTGCTGCTGTGTCTGTCTCCCACTGCATACCGCATACCGCATCGCAGCCCCTATACCCGCCCGCCGATTGCCATCGGGGAACCGGTCCCAGTCAGCCGCCCACGCCGCCGCCCACGCCTTGCGTGCTGCACTGCAGTTCGCTCTCCCTCCTCTCTGTGTCCCTCCTCCGGCATCTGATGAGTGAGAGCTGCAAACCGACTGCATTATTACCGAGCGACCAACTGGATCTTTGCCGCGCCAACCTCCGTCGTATCAGCGCGCGCCGTTGACTTTCCGCCGCCCTCTCAGCCTTACCTGCATCATTGCATTTTCCTCTCGACCTGTCGGCTGATACCACTACTGCATCCTTGTCTGGTGTTCTGCTGCTGCTGCTGCTCCTGCTGCTGCTGCTCCTGCTGCTGCTGCTCCTGCTGCTGCTGCTCCTGCTGCTGCTGCTCCTGCTGCTCCTCCCGCTGCATCAACCCAACTCACCAACCACTTCCTCCCGCCTGTCACTGCAGCTACTGCTCACCACCTCCGCTGCCCTACCTGCACCTCCGCCACAAGACGCGACACGACCACGGCAACCTCTGATCTGGTGCACCTTGGATTCTTCGCTCCGACCAGCCTCCACATCATCATCATCATCATCATCATCATCATCATCACCACCTTCACCATCAACCGCTTGGCTCTATCTATCCATCTGCAAGAGTCGCCGACTCTTTGTGCGTTGCTTTTCCATGTCACTGAGCTGCTCGCAACATCGGCACACCTCCACAGGGCCCTCGACTAACCCCAACCGTGGCCACTTGATGCTCAGAGTGTCTCTTTGATTGCAGCTGGCGGCAGACTGTAAATTATGTTCTCAAGCGCCACCGCGGAACCATGGAGACCGTATCCGCACCACGAGCGACAACCAAGTGGTCCCCTACACCCATATGCTCATCCTCCTCCACCCCGGCCACCCTTGGAGCTACCACGACCTCTGGAACCCAGGCCTGCTTCTCATCATGTCCATTCCTCTTCAATGACGGATCGACCTGGATCGCAGAGAAGACCAGATGCATATCCCCCGGCACCTGTGCAACCTGACTACCGACCGCAGACACAAAATCTGCCTCGATTGCATGATATTCTCACATCGCAGCCTCCGGCTCCCAGTCCATCCGCTTACGGCAGCAACTGGGCTCCTACCACTGGCCCGCCGCACCACCCGCAACAGCACCCTAATGGAGAAGGGTATCACGGCCATCACACTGGATGGCATCCTCCGCTAGCACATCCTCCGCACGATGGTCCTCAGACTTATCCGTCCCAGCAGGGCCGGCGATTAGAGCTGCCAATCCTGGAGACCAGTCCGATAGCAAGGCGCGATAGCCATTCTGTTCCGCTTTCGCCGTATCCTCCGCATCATCATCATGAAGGGGCGCGGGAATACAATGAGATGCGTCGTGAGAGGCCACGGCAAGCATCGACCAGCTCCTATCACCCGAACGGCGTCCTTACCCCCTATACACCTGCCGGGCCGGACGGATCGCACTACAGGAGCCCGGCCACCAGCCTAGACCGGCCTTCAAGCAATGCGCTCGCGCCTGCTGGGCCAGAATCGTCCAAGAAATATCTTGGCGTCAGAGATGTGGCCGGCGAGGGTCCGTGTCATATGTACGAGGGCGGCTTTCGCATTCCCACTCACGTAGATGGCGAGGCGGTCAATCCTGCGTGGGGATTGACCAAGGCGAACAAGCCACGAAAGCGCCTTGCAATGGCATGTCTGGACTGTAGGGAAAAGAAGATCAAGTGTGAACCGGGACTTGCAAGTTGCCTGCAGTGTGAGAAGGCGAAGAGGCCATGCCGAAAGTAGGTCGAAATTCGTTTGATACCATTCCTGATCCGCACTGACCATTGCCTAGGGCTCCTACCCATCAATCCACCTCGGAACCAAATACGACACCGGTTTGGCAAGGCCATCCGGATTCTCCGAGCCGGCAAGGATACCACGAGACGACCCCACCGAGCGCCCGCGAGACAGAGTCAGCAGATGTATCGTCTAAGCGCCGTACTTTGGAGGAGCCCTCTCCTTCCGGATTACCCACGAAAAGGCACCGATCAGCATCCCCTGTGGGAGCCCAGAGCGGCGTTGGAGCAATGCACGTGAACGGCACTCATCAAGTCTCACCGATCATGCCAAGATCACCAGGCAAGGTGCTGGCTTGGGAGGAGGATCCGTTTGCTCTGGAGCCGGAAATGACGATGCACCTGTTGGATCTCTTTTTTGCATACGTCAACAATGCGACATATGGAATCTTCCCTCGGCATCATTTCATGCGATGGGTGACGAGCTACGCGGAAAAATGCCAAAACGAGCGCACGGTTCTGTATGCTCTCATGGCAGTCGGCTCCATCTTTGCCGACGATCGCTACTCAGGCGTGGGAAAGCACTGCGCCCAAGTCGCGAATGAAGCTCTCTTGTCCAAGATAGGCCGCTTCAGTATGTCGCTGGCGCAGACCCGTCTGCTTCTGGGCCTGTACCACTTCGCAAAGGGTGCAAACAATGTGGCCTGTGACTACGTCAGTTCAGGCATCAATGTGGCAGTATACCTCCGCCTTCACACTGAACGAGGATGCTTTGAAGAAGAGACGGCAGTGGAGAAGTCGCGGAATGAATTCGCATTCACGAAAGAACAGCTCGTGGAGTGCAAGCGGCGCACCATGTGGACCTGTTTCCTAATGGACCACTACTGCGGCGCAACGCACAATCTGATGAACTCGCAAGACATCTTCATCCGACTCCCGTGTACGGAAGATACCTTTGAGTGCGGTCTGGCATCCAATGCTCCTCAATTCGACAACGGTATCACGGACCCCGCCACCACGATTCTCACGCCCTCGAGCGCGGTCTCGCCGATGGCCTGGTTGGTTCTGATTGCAGCCATTTGGGGCAATGTCTATAGCTTCACACATCGCGCAACCCACCGATCGGCCAGCACCTACGAGTCCGAATACGAGAAGTTCTACGAGGAGACTCGGGCCAACCTCGAGAATTGGGCCGCTCGCCTGCCCGAGGCGCTCCAACTGACCAAGACTAACGTGGAAGGGAGTGTTCAGAGAGGCTACGGCGGTCCCTTTATCTCAATGCACGTTCTCTACCATCTCGCGTGGCTCAAGATGAATCGTTTCGCAAGACACGAGCATATCCCGAAGTCGATTGCGCGCAACGTACGGACGGCGCACCGGCACGCCCACGAACTACTCCAAGTGATGAGCTTGTTCCGCGCCGCCAAATGGGAGATTATGGACAAGGAAGGCCACCAGGCCAGCTTTCTGTTCACGATGCCGTTTGCAGGCTATGCAATCCTGGCGGCCATCGATGTCATCGGAGCGGGCGGCCTGGACTCCAACTTGACAGCTACCCTGGACCTCATCAGCTGCGGCTTGGACTGTCTGCGTGAGCTCGGTCGATACTGGGACAGCGCGCGAGATCAGGAGAAGGCGTGCGAGAAACGGTACTACCAGATCCACAACGTGTTGAAGCACCCCTTCACGGCACGGAGCGGCTGCTGGCTGGGGCGAGAATGGGGGGTGCACTCGTCGCTGGAGCGGGAATTTGCACTGGAAGACGATTGTATCTACGGCGTATCGGATCGGGACTACTTTGATGCTTTGAAAGACGACACCGTGAACGGAAGGGCTCCCAACGGCAACGGCTTGCGCGGCATTGTTTGACGTTAAGAGATATCGACAGGAGGATAGCCAGCCATGTATTCGTGTTTGTTCTTCTCGGCACAGTCTGCTGTGCAGATAGGCAGCGAGGGAGCGAGGGAGGGAGGGAGGGAGCGAGATCCACAGACGGGAAAAGATAGGGAACACGGCACTACGATTTCACGAGGGATTATCTATTATGGCTTTCTATTGCGACTTTTGCCCCCTGCACGCACAGATGTCCCCTTGTAAAAGCGCGGAAGGGGAAAGGCGAGGTAGATGTAATTAATGGCGGCGGCGGCGGCGGCGGCGGCGGCTTGTCTCGTCCTCGGACATTTCTTGTGCAAAGGAAGGATATAGAAAGCAGGACATGATGAAAGATGTGTGTGTAAGCGAGCAACACCAACAACGAAAACGAAAACAATACCCGACACACATCCACGGCATCCATCGCATCCATCCCATCCCATCCATCCGTCCTTCCGTCCCTCTCACTATCTATCTCATCGCTGACACAGATAATCCCGACCAACGTCGAGAACCGCCGCCGCCCACCAATCGGGAGACTCGTCCTCGCCCGTTTTACCTACTTTAGTGGCACTGCTGCTAATCTCGGCTTTCGGCGTTTTCAGAAAGATCTTGTGGTCGGTCCACGGTCCACGGTCCACGGTCCACGGTCCACGGTCCACAGTCGGTCGATTCGGTTCGGTTCGGTCGGCATGCCGAAACGATGACGGGACTTCCGTCCTCCACCCTTTGCGGATTACCTGTACCTTATCCCCCTCGGGATCTCGTACCTTACGACTGTGATGTTATTTGCTGATGATTGTTGATGGAAGCCGAAGAAGAAGAAGACCTTTCTATTTTGTTGTGGATCAAGGGACGCGCGATACTTGACTGACTAGTAATGTATGTATCGCGGCAGACAGAGACACACAGACGAGGACGCGAGTGGCATCGCATCCTCCAGCGACGTTGAGTACATGTAGTGATAGTACAGGTAGTAAGTAGTGTGCTTCGGTACAAGCCGCCAAGCGGCCACGACCAGGACCAGGACCAGGACCAGGGAGGCATGCCGCGGCGCCTCTTTTGCTATTTGGGTTTTGGGGATCTTCTCTAGACTAGCAAGACTAGGTGGTGGTGATCTGTGGTGATGGTGATGGAAGTGGTGGGTGCTGGTGGTAGCGGAGTGTGCGTGCGCGAGGTGTGATGACGAGGGCTAGCTCGGCCGATGACCCTGGTTTTCGACACGAAAAACCCTGGACTAGCACGGTAGAAGCTTGCGGCATCCCGAAAGAGAATCTCGATCTCTCTGCTGTTGTCTCCTCTCCTTTCTACAGTACAGTACATCATGATCATGCTAAGAAATTAAGCGATGGTGTCAGAAGATCCCGGCGAGCAGAGAGGTCCACCACACAGACAGTGCAGTGCTCCGCCGTCCGGCATGCGTCGGCTGCACTCTGCCGAGTCGCTGTGCTGCGCTGCGCTGCGCTTGTGCTGTGTGCTGTGTGCTGTGTCTGTCGGGTGTCGGGTGTCGGGTGTCGGGTGTCGGGTGTCGGGTGTCGAGACGAGGG